TTCGTGCTAATCGAAGGATATATAGGGACTTTGGTGCACCATTTACTTTAAATCGGATAAAAATATATATGGGAACTATATCTAAATCTAAACCGATTTTTCTCAATTTCAATAGGGTTCGTCCTTGGGCCAAATAAATGAGCTGTGCAAAATTTCATCCAATTCGAATCAAAAATGCGACCTGTACTTTGTTTACGATTTAACATGGACAGACGGACGGACATGCATAAATCGACTTAATAAGTGATTCTATGCATATTCTCAAGAGGAACCATGTGTCTATCTCGTTTATTTTTGCCTGTTACAAACATATGCACCACAGTGTGGTGAACGGTATAAAAATAAATAGAAAAAATATTTATATGGACCTAGAAAATATTCTTTAAAAAATCCCGCTTTATATAGACCTAGAATAATTATTCTTTAAAAAATCCTCGCCTTATATGGACTTAGACAAAAAGTATTTAAAAATCTGTACGTCAACAAATTATTTAAAATTAGACCTCAAAAACTATTATTTAAAAATCGAATTCTATAATTTCCCTTGAATAATTATTCTTATAAAATCTACGTCTCCAATTGGCCTTGAAAAATTTTCTTTAAAAAATGCACACATATGTTGGCCCTTGAAAAAATATTTTTTAAAAAATGCACGGCCATCGCCTATGTTGACCCTTGAAAAAAATCTTAAAAAAATCCACGCCTATGTTGACCCTTGAAAAAAAAATTTTTAAAAAATTCACGCCTATGTTGACCCTTTAAAAAATACGCTTTAAAAAATTCACGCCTATGTTGACCCGTGAGAAAATATTCTTTAGAAATCCAATATATATATATATATATACCAAATGATGACTTGTGACAAAAATTCTAAAATAATAAATACGTCAGAATGTTACACTTCATTCTCTTATCAGTTAAGAAAAAATACACCGACTACGAATAGAGATTAGTATTCTGCGAATAAATTGTATAATTAAATAAATAATACAAACAAATTATTATCAGTTTAATACAGACTTTTTAAAACGAAAGTGTAAATATTATGACGAATATTCATAGAAGTCGTTGTTAGCAGTTTGAAAAAAATGAAAAAGGCAAGCTTCCACAATTGTATTTTCAATTTCTAGCTGAGTTCAAATGATGACTCAATAATGGCAATTTCCTGTGACGTCGTATTCCAAAATATTTATTATTATTATTCATGACTGAATATTTATTTTCAAACAAAATGTGTATATTAAAATACAAACAGCTGTGAAATTGAATCACTCGCAAATATAAACCATGAATTAAAGACGCTACGGGTTTCTATGTAAATGTCTCTTTGCATAGAAACCCGTAGGGAAATACATAGACATTTATTCATTGGGAAAATAATTTCCCTGTATTTTCAATATATTCCAGGATTTCGCAATATATTGATTCCTTTAATTTTTTATTTATTCTTTATCGCATTGGAGCTCTTCTTTTTACTATTAATTAATACAAAGCCTTGCAGATTATTATTGTTGTTGTGCAGTTCACGTCTGCTTGACCATGACCAGGACAGACTGTTGTTATTTTCTTTTCACTATCTGGTAGTAAACATATTAATTATTTCACAATCATCAGCAGTTAAGAAAATAACAGGCATGTCCATCTAAGCCATACTGCTCTCCATCTATCCTAAATATTGCGATAATTCGAATTTCTTTAGCGGACTAGTACCAAATATTTACATTAAATCCAATAAGTCCATGTAAACGAAGCTTAAATTCTTTAAACTGAACGAATTTTAGCGATTTATTTAAAATTCTAATTTATTGAAGAGCATATTGTTTGCCTTCTACAAAACAGTAGCCGTTATTACACAATTAATGAAAAACTGTAGCATACTTTAGGGATGAACAGTCAAATAACTAAAATGAACAAACTACTGAAATGTAATGATGCCGTATTTATCAATTTACCATCTATGCCGGGATTTCTATTGTAGATTAACCGCATTAATAGGGGATTTTCTAAGAATATATATTGGAGAATATTTATACCCTTCACCACACTGTGGTACAGGGTATTATGTCTTTATGTATATGTTTGTAACAGGCAAAATTAAACGAGATAGATACATTGTTACTTTTGAGAATATACATAGAATCACTTTCTGAGTTGATTTACGCATGTCCGTCCGTCCATGTATTTTTGTGAACAAAATAAGGTCGCATTTGGGATCCGATTTGGATGAAATTCGGCATAGGTCACTTATTTGGCCCACGGACGAACCCTATTGAAATTGGGAAAAATCGGTTCAGATTTAGACAAAGCTACCATATATATTTTCGTCCGATTTAATATAAATGGAGCACCAAAATCCCTACATATCTCTCGATTTGCACGAAATTTGGCACAGCGTAATGATTTAGGTCTACAATGATGTGTGTTAAGTTTCCTGAAAATCGGTTCAGATTTAGATATGTAAATGGTGCACCAAAGTCCCAATATATCTTTCGATTTCCACCAAATTTGGTACAGCGTAATGTATTAGGTCTAGAATGATGTGTGTTAAGTTTCCTGAAAATCGGGTCAGATTTTGATATAGCTCCCATATATATTTTTGTCCGATTTAAGGTAAATGGTGCACAAATGTCCCTGAATATCTCTCGATTTGCACGAAATTTGGCACAGCGTAATGAATTAGGTCTAGAATGATGTGTGTTACATTTCCTGAAAATCGGTTCAGATTTAAATATAGTTCCCATATATATTTTCGTCCCATTTAATGTAAATGGTACATCAAAGCCTCTATATATCTTTCGAGTTGTACGAAATTTGGCACAGCGCACTGAATTGAGATATTTCGGTATAGCTCCCATATATACTTTCGTACTTGCTGTGTGGCACGTTTCAGGAAAATCGATTAAGACTTGAATGACATTATTGCGTTTGGTTGAAATTGATGTCGATGTATTTCGAACGGGTGTCTGAATATTTTTTTTAATTTTTAAATTTTCCGCGACCTATATAAGGCGTGGATTTTTTAAAGAATATTTTTTCAGCGACCTATATAAGGCGTGGATTTTTTAAAGAATATTTTTTCAGCGACCTATAAGGCGTGGATTTTTTGAAATATTTTTTTCAGCGACCTATATAAGGCGTGGATTTTTTAAAGAATATTTTTTCAGCGACCTATATAAGGCGTGGATTTTTTAAAGAATATTTTTTCAGCGACCTATATAAGGCGTGGATTTTTTAAAGAATATTTTTTCAGCGACCTATATAAGGCGTGGATTTTTTAAAGAATATTTTTTCAGCGACCTATATAAGGCGTGGATTTTTTAAAGAATATTTTTTCAGCGACCTATATAAGGCGTGGATTTTTTAAAGAATATTTTTTCAGCGACCTATATAAGGCGTGGATTTTTTAAAGAATATTTTTTCAGCGACCTATATAAGGCGTGGATTTTTTAAAGAATATTTTTTCAGCGACCTATATAAGGCGTGGATTTTTTAAAGAATATTTTTTCAGCGACCTATATAAGGCGTGGATTTTTTAAAGAATATTTTTTCAGCGACCTATATAAGGCGTGGATTTTTAAGGGAATATTTTTTCAGCGACCTATATAAGGCGTGGATTTTTTAAAGAATATTTTTTCAGCGACCTATATAAGGCGTGGATTTTTTAAAGAATATTTTTTCAGCGACCTATATAAGGCGTGGATTTTTTAAAGAATATTTTTTCAGCGACCTATATAAGGCGTGGATTTTTTAAAGAATATTTTTTCAGCGACCTATATAAGGCGTGGATTTTTTAAAGAATATTTTTTCAGCGACCTATATAAGGCGTGGATTTTTTAAAGAATATTTTTTCAGCGACCTATATAAGGCGTGGATTTTTTAAAGAATATTTTTTCAGCGACCTATATAAGGCGTGGATTTTTTAAAGAATATTTTTTTTAAAGAATATTTTTTCATGGGCCCTATGAGGCGCGGATTTTTGAAAGAATAAATATATATAATTATTTTTTTCAATAACCCCTGAACTTTTTTCGAAAATAATTAACACATTTATTTTTATATTATTCCTTAGTGATTATCATCTTTATTTAAATACCATACGGAGGTTAAACATTTAATTTTTCATTAAAGCAAATATTCTTAGCAAAATATATATTTCGTTTTCGAGAATTTTAAATTCTTCACCATTTTCAATAAAATTTCAAATAACAATTTTATTTTTAATATTTTTTTCTATATAATTAAATTTTACAATTTGTTATATATCTTAAACATATAATTCATAAAAGCAAATTTTATTAATACAATGTGTGTGTGTGTTTGTGGAAGGGGTTAGGAGAATTGGTAGGAAAGAAAGTTATGTTTTTTGCTTTTGTATTTTATGTTTTCGTTTTAAAACTAAATAAATTTAACAATAAATAACGACAACGACGTTTAATGACAAAATTACAAACAATTTTTGTGTGTGTGTACAGTTGAAGAAAAAACGGTTATAGGGAACTATGCTTATAAGAAACTATGAATTGTGAACGGGGGGATTTTGGAAGTTTATTGGTGTGGGAGAAAATATATAAAAAATTTTTTGTTGGCAGTTTCATATAACCGTCTTATTCGGTTATAAGAAACAATGTCAATTTATTCCCTTTATATTTTAACCCAGGGTTCGGAATGTTTTTGTACATCCTCATAATTTTATAACATACCTGGAATTAATATTCCAAATCCTAGTTCCTTATAACCGTTTTTTGCACTGCATATAATAAACATGTTGTAATGTGATGTTTCTTTTTTCAATGAAATAACATTTTTTTCGTAAAACAATAATTGAAAATTTAGCTGGCAATACATTATCGGTCTCATATGAAATTAAAATTTTTTTAGAATTGTATTTTTTGTAGCTTTGGAATTTGGGTTTTCTTATAAAGAAAGCGAATAAATAACATTGAGGATAATTTGGTGTTTGAAATTGCCGGTTGTTTTTTTTTTCAAATATCGAACGGATGTTATTTTTTGTTGCCACTGAAAAATTCACTAAATTCGTTTAGAAGTCGTAAGAATTGGCTTCATCGTCACCCTTGCGGACTTTGAAAACGAGTTTGTATATAACAGCGGCAACAATGGCACCGACAAATGGTCCCACCCAATAGACCCAGTGATCGGTCCAGATGTTTTGGACAACGGCGGGGCCGAAGGAACGGGCTGGATTCATGCTGGCACCGGTTAGATTAATCTAAAATAATAAAACAAAAAATTAAATCAATTTTTATTTTTTATTAAAAAATCAAAAATCCTCCTTTTCACTTACAGCACACAAATGACCAGCAGCAATGGACAGACCCACCGCCAAGGGAGCCGAACCCTTGATATCACTGCGACCGGGATCAGAAACACCCTTGACAACAATGACCAAAATGAAGGTAATCAAAGCTTCAATTAATACTGCCTGGCCAACGGTCAAGGTGGCGGAGTAGCCAGAAACACCCAAGCTAGCACCGGAAACAACTTCAGATACACCAACCTGTAAAGGACGGACATTTTGTATTTTTCCAATATTTGTTATTTTGTATTTTTTGAATGAATAATTAATTACCTTAATAACAGCAGCACCGGCAATAGCTCCCACACATTGTACAGCCATATAGAGGACACTCTTCAGAATGCTCATTTCACCAACAATCAGGAAGCCAAGGGTAACAGCGGGATTAATGTGGCAACCACTAATGTGTCCGATGGCCTGGAAAGAAGAAGAGAAAAGTTATTATTTAGATGTCTAAACAATTAAAAATATATTTTTTGTATTATTTGTTCAATGTCCAATAGAGGAGGAGTACATTTTTTATTTAAAGAAAAAATTAAAAAAATATTTTTTTTGAGAAATTATCAAAGGTGAAAATTTTATAAAAAAATATTTTTTGAAGATTGTTTAAAGAATATTTTTGAGGCACTCTCAAGGCGTAGATTTTTAAATGAATATTTTTGTATGCACTTTCAAGGCGTGAATTTTTTAAAGAATACATTTTTAGAGAGACCAACAAGGCGTGGATTTTTTAAAGAATATTTTTTGAGGCCTCTCAAGGTGTGGATTTTTTAAAGAATATTTTTTGAGGCACTCTCAAGGCGTGGATTTGTTAAAGAATATTTTTTGAGGCCTCTCAAGGCGTGGATTTTTTAAAGAATATTTTTTGAGGCCTCTCAAGGTGTGGATTTTTTAAAGAATATTTTTTGAGGCACTCTCAAGGCGTGGATTTTTTAAAGAATATTTATTGAGGCCTCTCAAGGCGTGGATTTTTTAAAGAATATTTTTGAGGCCAATCAAGGCGTGGAATTTTTTAAAGAATATTTATTGAGGCCTATCAAGGCGTGGAATTTTTTAAAGAATATTTTTTGAGGCACTCTCAAAGCGTGGATTTTTTAAAGAATATTTATTGAGGCACTCTCAAGGCGTGGATTTTTTAAAGAATATTTTTGAGGCACTCTCAAGGCGTGGATTTTTAAAGAATATTTTTTGAGGCACTCTCAAGGCGTGGATTTTTTAAAGAATATTTTTTGAGGCTTCTTAATAAGTCGTAGATTTTTCAAAGAATATTTTTTTGAGGTACTCTCAAGAATTCGTATTTTTTTGAATAAATATTTTTGAGGAACCCTTAAAAAGTCGAAGATTTTTTAAGGTGTAAATTTTTTTAAGGAATATTTTTTGAGGTACTCTCAAGAATTCGTATTTTTTTGAATAAATATTTTTGAGGAACCCTTAAAAAGTCGAAGATTTTTTAAGGTGTAAATTTTTTTAAGGAATATTTTTTGAGGCACTCTCAAGGAGTGGATTTTTAAATTTTTTTGATGGTCCATTAAGGTGTAGATTTTTATACCCTACACAATTATGTGGTCAGGGTATTATAGCTTTGTGCAGCCCCAAGAGTTTGTAACGCCGCGAAATATTGCTCCTAGACCCACCTTTAAGTATACCGATCGTCATATCTCGACTAGCTGAGTCGATCTAGACATGTGTGTCCGTCCGTCCGTCCGTCTGTACATTATAATTTGTAAACACGATACAGGCCACAGTTATGGACCAATCATCACGAAATTTTGCATGTAGGATGGGTTATGGCCAATTAAGACCCCTATTGTTTATGGTAGTGATCGGTTAATATTTAGGAGATGAAATGGACCTAAAACTTTATTTTTGTCTGATTTTCTGGTCGTTTCAGAGGCCGCAATTTTGGCCCAAATATCGCAAATTTTTACATGGAGAAGGTGATCGGCCCAATATTTAGCGGGTCAAATGGGCCCTGACTTTTGTCTGAAATATTATAAAATTTGTATTCTATATCGTATATGTTTACCCCTGAAGGACAAAGACCCGAGAAGTCGAGAAGTAGTATATCCAAGAGGAGTGGTTGTCCTTTAAATTGATACCAATTATATTGTCGTATGTACTCGGATGCGGGAGTTACACGTAAATATTTATAGGTGCTTACGTATTCATATAATATTTAGTAACCCATTACCACACTAGAGGGCGGAAATATAGCGCTGATCGCTTTGAACTGTTCCATGAAGTTCCAGTTATGGTCAAGGTCAATGCCCATAATTTTCGTCGATGATCAGATAATAATATTAGGATAAAGTGGACCGAAAACTTATTTTTTGTTTTTTTTTTTCGAGTCGATCTATATGCCACAATTATAAGCCGAACATCACAAGACAAGCCACGGTGAATATAATATGGACAAGTAATTAGAAGGACTGTACTAAACATTAGTAAAATTCCGTCTGACTCTACTGCTCCGCTCATTAGTTTTAAAATATATTCTTTGAGGGTCCATAAAAGTGTAAGTACTTTTAAGCATTAGATTTCTTTAAGAATATTTTTTGAGGCTTAGATTTTGTTTGAAGGCTTCGATTTTTTTAAATAATATTTGTGAGGTACTTTTAAGGCTAAGAATTTTTAATGAAAGAATATTTTTTATAGCTGCTATGCTAATCTAGAAATTTATGTACATAAATGTTTGAAATAAAAGTCAACAATATTTTGATTGATGAAAACATAGTCTTAGTGAAGGTATCATTCAAAAACCTCTTGTAAGCCATTAATTAATTAGCATCGTGTATATAAAAACATTAATTATTATAGATAATAAATAGTCGAACATACAAATTTTATGTTAACCAGGGTACATAAAATACCTTGAACTTGAAAATTTGTTATAAGATTAAGGGGTCAATATATATTTTTAGAATAACTATTTTCTATAAACGCATTTTAATAAAGATGTTTATTGAATTTTATTCGCTTTCTGGCTTTTTTTCTATATGACATACATTTTATAAGGGTTTCCTACGATTGACTTGGCGCCACTGTATTTTTTTCGACATCAATAACAAATTCAGTATTTAAGATGCTAAATTATCAATACAAACCAAATTCATCATATTTTCAACAAATTTCAATATTAATTAAAATATAATATTCAATATTAATTTCCATTTTTTTTGCTTATAAATCATATTTTAAGAAATATTCACAAATTAAGATTGTTTATGCAGGTCAATGAATTTTGAATTTCGTATTTATCAATTAGCTATGGTATTTTTGTGAAAAGATTTACACCTTTTTTATTTCGATGTTAATTTGAATTAAAATTTCAATTTATAATTAATGGGATATTTTGGTTTACAAATAACTTATAATATGTTTTTTTTTTCAATCAACTATGTGGGGAGTGTGTTTAAAAAAATATTGGTCATGAATTTATGAATCATTTTTTTTTAGACTAATTACTTGAGGTATTCCAACATGAGGAGAAGATTTCGGATCAAGTATCCATTGTAAAATTATTATTATATTTTTAAGATATTTCAGTTTTAAATAATTATAAAATTTAATAAAATGCTTTCGAGATTAATAATATAATGACTATAATATATATATATATATATATATATATATAAATTGAAATTTATTCCATACTCCACACCATTGACGTATTTTTGGTTTTACCCAAAATAATAAACTTTTGTCTCAGATACTTAAAAAGTGTTTTTTTTTGTATATTAACATCATACAAAACAATGGGAATACACTTTTTATTTAATAAACTAAACATCTGAGTAAATATTTATAAACAAATAACTAAAATTAACTCCATATATATAACTAAATAATTTATAGCGGAAAAATAAGAAAGTTTTAAAACCACACTGACGCTAATTGGTTGCAAAAAATAGAACAGAGCAAAAAATATTTTGACGCAAAAATACCCCAAAATAAATTACTCACACCCACCGCTACGGAATTCCACCTCCAAACCAAATCCAAAAACGAAAAAAAAAACATAACCGTACACTAAAATTAACATTCATTCCGAATTGGTGATATTTTTTAATTTTGTTTACATTCAAAAACATTTTTTTGCTTGACAAAACAACCGAAGAGGGGGAGAGGGTGAATGGACGATCGGCACTTAAGAATTTTTTTGCGAAGAGGCGCGTTAAAAGTAAATGTTGTTTGCATACGTAATGAACCAGAACTGTGAGGCGGTACATAAAAATTCAAATTCATGCACTTTGCGCATTGTTCGAAAAAATATTCGAGTACTGGATCAGTGACAACAACGAACACAAGGTATTTTTACTCATTGAATGTGGGTCAAAAATTTATGCGTTCCAAGAATTATAATTTATTTTGTTTTACTTTTTATAAATCTGCATAAATCATTAAAGAAATGTACGAAAAATAAATGAGAAGTAGGCAAGAACAAACAATACGCCGATCAATTGTTAGTTATGAACAATTTATAATTAACCTTTAATATGCATCCCTGCCAATGTCAGTAATATAAGTTACTTTTTAAAGTCAAAATATTCTTTAAAAAATTTACGCCTTGTTGATACCTCCAAAAATATTCTTTAAAAATTCCACGCCTTGTTGATACCTCAAAAAATATTCTTTAGAGAATCTAAGCCTTGTTGGTAGCTCAAAAATATTCTTTAAAAATTCTACGCATTGTTGGTAGATAAAAAAATAATCTTTAAACCAGTAAGTAAAGTAGTAAAGTCGAACGGGGCCGACTATATGATACCCTTCACCACTATGGGTATATTAAAGAAGACTATTAACATGAAATTGGATGAAATAAAATATGTGATATTTATCTAAATGTAAATCTACCTAGATATATCCATAAACATATCATTCGTTTGTTACAATGGGACACAAGTGTGTAAATCGACTTCAAACAAATATAAATAGGTTACCGTTGGGCTATGTCTGTACTTCTAGAAAACGCAACTACGTAATTCTATGCTCAATTTTGTACGTTGTGCAAAATTTGATGTCAATCTGATTAACATGAGGAGTTTGATGCCCAATTTACTTAAAATCGGGTGAAAATATATACGGAAGCTATATCCAAATATGATGCGATTTCAACGAATTTTGTCACAGGTGAGGTTATACTAATTTCAGTACGTTTTCTTCCTATCAGCCTATTGATTTCTTAGTGCGTCAATTACTTAAAATCAATCTATAATAAAAGGAAGCTATATCTACATCTCAACCGATTTTCACGAAACTTGGCACACATCATTCTGGACTAAATTTACACTATATCGGACGAAACTATATATGGGAGCTATATCTAAATCTGGACCGATTTTCTCGAAACTTGGCAGACATCACTCTAGGCTCAATTCAGTACGTTATGCCAAATTTGGTGCAAATCGAAAGATATA